AAGTGATGATGCAACTCTAGCATGATTAATGGACAGTTCAAATGAATCAAAATTACCAACTCTTGCCAATGAATCAGAACTGATTAATTCAAATGGACAGTTTGAACTGATTCACAGTAATGAATCGATCATACCAATTCTTGCCAATGAATCAGTATTAATTCAAATGGTTTAAAATAATTCACAGAAATGAATTAAATACCAATTATTGCCAATGAATAATAATTCATTCATTCAAAGAAATGAAGCGATCTTTCCAAATCTTGCGGATGAATCAAAGTTAATTAATTAATTAAGATGGACAGTTTAAACTGATTCACAGAAATCAATCAAACTTACCCACTAAATCAAGGTATCTTCCGACCACTCACAACACCCTAGCATGAAAGCACCACCAAAATATTGTTTAATCAGTAAGCATTAACCTAAAAACATAATTTTTTCAGTTTTACATGTATGCCTACTTATGTAATAAAGCATAGGCAAGTGCAGGACACATAAAAGATCAAGCACAGAAGGAATATGGCTCTAGCAGCCTTGTGCTTTATCATGTTTCATATACTAACAGTGCATCATCTAAAATTCTTGCAACAAATATCATGCAGTCCTTGACAGCCTTTGGGATTAAGATGGTGTTGTGTCTAATACCGTTACAATAGCACTTTTCTTACCACCAGCATCTTTGACAGGTTTGACTCTGGCTGATGTTCTAGGTAGAGACATTCACATGAACTAGCAATCATATGAATGCCCTCGACCTTTTCCATCTATCTCTCTCTCTCACCTATTTATTGATAACATCTGTCCCATCATCCCTCGCTTTTCTGTTTCACCAGCTGTACTTGAGTATCACGCTGTAACAGTTGACATTAATGGGACATACCTCTTCTGTCTGGCTCTTGTACTCCAATAAGTCTGACTATTTTCAGAAGCAGAGGATATTTGCTCACGAGAAAAGAAAACAGACTAAACCTTCCCTTGATTTTAGCACGTAACGAGCAATGGATACAGCAGTCTGGACTTCATCCAGAGAACCCTCTGCAAACATCAATCCAGAAAAACGTATGCCTCACAGAACATTTCCAAGCTAGTGTTTTTCTAAAACAGGAAGGAGAATTAAGAAAATGGTTCCAACAATTCAGCAGAAAGATAAAGCAAATAACTGGGTATTATTAAATGGATAATTCTACTTCTGGAAGCCAATCGTCTATACAGCATTTCAGTCACACTAAAATACAAAATATAATAACAGTTATGAACAAAAATTGTGATTCGTCTATTATTATTTAAGTGATGATGCAACTCTAGCATGATTAATGGACAGTTCAAATGAATCAAAATTACCAACTCTTGCCAATGAATCAGAACTGATTAATTCAAATGGACAGTTTGAACTGATTCACAGTAATGAATCGATCATACCAATTCTTGCCAATGAATCAGTATTAATTCAAATGGTTTAAAATAATTCACAGAAATGAATTAAATACCAATTATTGCCAATGAATAATAATTCATTCATTCAAAGAAATGAAGCGATCTTTCCAAATCTTGCGGATGAATCAAAGTTAATTAATTAATTAAGATGGACAGTTTAAACTGATTCACAGAAATCAATCAAACTTACCCACTAAATCAAGGTATCTTCCGATCATTCGTTTTTTAATTTAATATTGAAATCTGAAAAAAAATGAAAAAAAGGCACATATTTCGTTTTTCAATTGCTCAAACAAAATGAAAGATCAAGAAACCGGCTTCATTTTTCGTTTTTACGTTCAGGGATAGAAACTGAATA